GAAAGAAACTATCATTTCTTGAGAGCCACCATACATTGTCCCACTATAGCCTCAGGATAACTTTCTATGAGGAATTACTCAGACCAGGTAAATGAGACTCAGATAAATTGTGGCCTGCCCAAAGTCACACAGGTAGCCACAGACAGATCTGGATTCAAACTCTGATGAGTCTGACTGTAAGATGCAGCTATGCTGTTATCTCTTGCTCAATCAGCATGAGATCACAGCGTTGGTCACGAAGAGTATGGAGCCAGTCACTAAAAGCCAGAAGTCCTCGCTTGCTACAGTGGAGGTGGGAAGCAGCCATCACAGCACTGGTTGCTCCACATGCTTTTTGTGCAGATGGATTAAAAAGGAAGCCCAAAGAGGGGGCAGGATCCAGAAGTGCTCCAAGCCAGGTTCTGCTCCTGTCAAACTGCCCTGAGTCCAGACTCTTACAACTATGAGCAGGTCAAGGCCAAGACAGGAACACGGTGTGAGCATGAGGACAGAGTTCTGGCCAGCCAGGAAGGGAGAGGTATTGCTCAGGCAGCAGTCCCCACCCTCTCCTCTGAGGCTAGACACTGGGCTCTCACCTGATCTCATGGGCCCTGAGGCCACCTGCTAGCTTGGGCAAACCACTGGGGCTTCCTTACGTTGCACTATGGACTCAAACAGCATGGCCCTTTGAGCCAGGGCTGACATCATCCTGTCTCTTTTACTCCATCGCTCTTACGGCTCCTCAGCAGTCAGGTTAGGGCTGTCAGATTATTCTGGGGAGGAGAATCTTGAATGTGGGAGAATGTAAGATGAGAAGACCTTGAGGCACTGGTTGGTGGTGGTGGGCAGCGGCTGACTCAAGGAATCTCTGAGCACTCTCCATGCTCCTCAGTCCCCTTAGAACTGAGGCTCAGAAGTCAAATCCATTGCCCAGCCCAAGCTTGAAGCACAACACAGGAGGTTTTCCTGTGGAGTGGTCCATAGCCTTGTGAGATCAGAGTGACCAGTCTTGAGGCCTCTCCTGCTCCACAATTGCCCAACCAGTATCCAGGCAGAAACTGGCAGCCTCAAGTTATTTTTAAGGGCCCTCAGATCCTTCCTCCCTAAAGAGGTTCTCTTAGGACCCTTAAGGGGCCCTCATTCCCACAGGGCAAACAAAGGGACCAGATTGGGAACAGGCTGAGGCATCCCCATCACAGCAAACCCTTCCAGGAAGCCCTTGCTCCAGGGCCTGCCCAACCTCTTACCTCTTCAATTTGGCTGTTCCCTCAGAGCACCACCACCCAGGATGGAAATTTGATGGTGGCTCTTGAGCCAAGCATGGGCTTGACTCTTTTTCTCCAGAAGTCAGGGTAGTAGGTCTGCCAGTTACCACTGGATAAGCGATTGCAAGCTACCCTGGCAACAATGGCCCCTGGCAACTTTGCTCAGCAATAATATCCTGGCACCAATTCCTCAATAGCTCCATCTGCAATCCTGCCCTTGCAGCTTCAAAGTATACCAGAAATACCACCTTGAGTTGCCAGGTGTAAACCTTGACCCCACCCATTTACAAGCAAATCTTCTCCCCTCTGGCCCAAGTGGCCTTACTCGGTGAGGGGCAGAGGGGCATGACACTGATGATAATAATAAACAATTTTTAAAAGTGCTGACTGTGTATGTACCAAACATATTGTTTTAAGTACTATATTTAATCCTCACGCCCTATGTGATAGGTATAATTTTTTGGGGGGGGCGGGGAGTGGGGAATGGGTTGCACTATGTAACCCAGGTTGGCCTCAAACTTACCATCCTTCTGGCTCAGCCTCCCAAGTGCTGGGATTACAGGCTTGTGCCACCACACCTAGCTATAAGATAGATACAATTATTATTCCCATTTGGCAAGTAGGAAAACTGAGGCTCAAAGACTACCCCAAGAGTCTGGCTATGAAGTCAGGCAATCCATCTTTGGGATCTTTTACTTTCCTCTGCCTCTCAGGAAGCTCAGAGGATATAGTGGCCTCCCTAGCTAGGACATATAAGGAATCCCACCAGGCTGGTTTTGGTGCCTTGTGAGGGCACAGGTAAGTGGAAAGCAACAAGCGAAAGATCTTTGTGGTACTGGAGTTTGAACTCCAGGTCTCATGCTTGCTAGGCAGGCGCTCTACCACTTGAGCCACTCCGCCAGCCCTGTTTATGTAGGGTATTTTAGAAATCTCACAAACTATTTGCTTGGGGCTGGCTTTGAACCGTGATCTCCTAATCTCTGCTTCCTGAGTAGCTAGGATTACAGGTATGAGCCACCGGTGCCCAGCTACAAGGGGAGATCTTATTTTTCCTCAGCCATGAGGCTAGGCTAGACCCAGAAAGGGGAAGGGTGGTCCCACTATAGAGTAGGGAGCTGCCTGCCCCTCAGGGAGAAGCCCTTTTTATGACTTCTGTCCTACATGAAATGAAGATTGCTGTGAAGAATGGGCCTAGGTGTCTGCTCCAGGCTCCTGAGGCTAACAGAGCTGGTGAGGTTGCTGTCGGTTCCTCTTGGCCTGGAGCCTCAGCAAAGCCCCTTGGGCTCCAGGCCTGGCGGTATGGAAGTCAGGAGATAGGAAGGAGACAACCACCAGTCATCAGAAAAAGGAATTCTTGGTTTATAAACTCTAATCCCTCCTTGTCCTCTCTTAACCTCAGGGTTTTTTTTGAATAAAAATATCTTCCCTATAGTGTTGTAAGAAGCAAATGATATGGTATACATAAAACAAAAAAACAGCACAGTGCTTGTCCAACATACAGTGGGTGCTCAATAATTGGGAACTGTTGTATTTTCAGTGCTCTGATTCAATTCATGGGGAATGAGTGTCTCTAATGGTGTGTTATAGGGCTCTGTCCTGGTCAACAATATGGATGGAAGTTGTAAGGGGCAGGTTGGATTTAAATTTAGAGTAGGAGAAAACACTGAGCAATAGAACCAGAATTCAAAACAATTTCAACAGGCTCCAAGCAAGATGACATTCCACTGTGAACTTGAAGACATTACACAAAGCTGAGGATGGGGGAGAGGCCTGACTTGACCCCAGCTCCGGTGCAAAGGATCTGAATGGGTTAGTTAACCACAGCCTAATGGGAACTAATCATGGGAGAGAGAGGCGCTGAAGCCTAGCAGTCTTAGGCTGCATTAACAATGTGTCATGTCCAGACTGGGGGAAATAATGGGCCTATTGTGCTGGCTTGGTCAGGCCATATCTGGAATCTTGCGTTGCTACACTGACAGACTGGAATCAGGCCAGGAGGGGGACAGCCCAACCTCAGCTCCCAGGCACTTGTGCTAAATGTTTCCTGTGCATTTTCTTGTTTCATCCCCCAAATAACCCTGTCCCCATCTTATACACAGGGAGGTTAATTGAGTTGTCCAGGATCAACCACATAGCTAGTTCCTAGAGGTGTCTGGGACTTTTCCACATGGGCTTTTCTGGTGCTTATACCAGAGCCCCAAGCTAGTTAGTGGGATATAGAAGTGAAACAGATGAAGTTCCCACCTTCAAGGAGAGTGTGATATGGCAGGGGATCCAGATCACTTGTGGAATGGTGTAATTCTACAGGAGTGAAGATTTTTGGGTCAGAAGAAATCATAGTGTCCACCTTAGCCAAATCAAGGCAGGAAAGGGCAAGAGAGACAGTACAGTGTCACGGTACAGCTCACAGTGGAGACATGGGGACCAATCTGTGCCCCGTTCATTACCATGGCTTCGTTCCATGGCTTCACTTTGGCTCACTTCTGCTCAGCAGTGGCCAAGAGTTGTGTGTCCAGATGGGATCTGTTAAGGCATACAAGGGAGCTTAGTGTGGCCATCCTGGGGCAGCCAGACCTTATTTCTCTCTCCTGCATCAGAGATTCAAAGAAAACAGGATCCTGATACTGAGAATCACAGGGACGGTGAGTGAGCCCCTCACTGATCAGAGAGAACTGGCATTCACCTTTCCCTGAGAATCTGGTAAAAATGGGATGATTTTGGCAGAGGTGGAAGAAAGGACTGTTCTTTCCTGGCATCTGCGCCTGGCCTCTATTCCAGTCTAAGGTCCTCCTGTCCTCTTTCAAGGACCACATGCCTCTGTGCCCTCTTTCTCAAACCTTTCCTTGATTGTTTCAACCCCGAGTGATTCTGTAGCTTTGTATCTCCCAGAACTTCTTGTTGAGGAAGCACTTGTACCCCATTCAGCTTTCTCTAATTTATGCTAAGAGGGCTGTCAAAAGCAAAGACTTTGGAAGAGGACAAAACCTTCAGGCTTGTCTGTACCCTGTAACAGCTGCTTCTCTTCTCTGAATCTCCCTTTCCTCAGCTGTAAAATGGGGATAATAATAGTACGACCCTAACCGCAAATTGTGAGGGCCTAATGAGATCATGTTAAGCACAGAGAAAGCTATCCATAAAAAGCCACTGAAGGAGGGCCTGGGTCCCGGCCCCACACTGCAGCTTGGGTGCTCCCTGTGAGAAGGAGCAGCCACTGGGTGTCTCATTTTCCTGTCCCATCACGAAGGGCACCACAGATGCCAGAGATGAGAAGAGGGAATGGTCGATCTTGGGGGACAAAATGGGAAAGTGACAGTCTACAGTCTCCAGGTTTGGGGGAGGGGAGAGGCTGTGAGTTAACTCCAGATTTTAAAGGGGACAGTGAGCCTCTAAGTCCCTAGCTTTCCTAGATCTGGGGGTTCAGAAGTCATAGGCTTCAGGCTTGACTCAGGGAGAACTCACTCTGGGGGACCTCAGGCAGGTCACTTTCAGCTTGGGCCTCAGTTTCCTCGGGCAAGTCAGGTGGGTCTCTCAGCCTTCCGTAGGATGCGAAGAGCGCGGGCAGCCGGATGCCGGTTCCCGGGTTTGGGAACGTGGCTCAGTAGCAGGGAGCCGCCGAGAGGGTGGGGAGGGCAGGAAGGCCGGCGGGCGCTGGAATTGGCTGGAGGTGGCGCAGCGGGGCTCAATGATTGGCCAGATCCAAGAAGGCAGGGCCGAACCTTTATGAGGCGCGGACGGGGGCGTGCTGGGGACTGTGTGCCTTGTGTGCCTGCCTCGTTTGCTAGTGCGTGGGGACCGTGGCGGCTGCTACTACGACGGGAGCCCGGGGAGAGTGGGGGCCCGCGGAGCAGAGAAGCATCCCGGCGTCCAGGTCCCAGTCCCAGACGGCGTGGCCCCCGGGTCATGGCCAAAGGAGAGGGCGCCGAGAGCAGCTCCGCGGCTGGGCTGCTGCCCACCGGCATCCTCCAAGCCGGTGAACGCCCGGCCCAAGTGAAGGTGAGGGCCCAGCACCCCGAGTGTAGGGCAAGGGGTGTGGACAGACCTCGATGGGAACATGGGGACGTTAGAGATTAGACTGGTCCTGGAACACTTGGGATAGCGGGGGACAGGCAGGCCTAGAAGTAGGAGAGAGATCGGGGATGCCCCGGGTCCTGGGGATGATGGAGAAGGTCTGCAGGCGTGGGCGCCCCTTTTTGCTCCACTCCCCTCCCTATTTCTACGGAGGGTGCAGGCGGCAGCTTCACGGGGTGCCGGCCTCTGTCTATCCGCTGTGTTCAGCGGCTTGGTTTATCGCCCTAGAAGTAAGAGAGACCCCAGAAACCTGAGAATCCCCCTTAGTTCCCCATCTTTCACCCCCTAATCCCCACCCGCCTACTTTTGCGCCTCAACTCTACCGAGGGCCGCTCAAGTTCATTCATAAGAACAAGGGCTCTGCTCTTAAAGGAGCCGCATCTCGCGGGCATTTGTGTGAATGTGGGCGTTCGCTTGCACAGCGAGCGACTCGAGTTTGTGCCCCAGCCTCAGCCCTATGAACCTATTTAACGACCAAATGAAATCAGGCGATTCAGGTTGGGATCTCTGGCAATAGATATCTGCTTGGGGGGGGGGTGCCTGCATTTTCCTTTTTATTAACTGTTCCTTGGAAGGAGCTGGGTGAGCAATTATGCTGTTACCAATGTATGAGTAATCTCTACCTTTCCTGGGCAACCTCAACCTATCTAGTGCCCCACCCAGAGAGGTCCAGTCTTGCACCTGGAGGCCTCTTAAAGGTCCCCTAGGAGTTGAAAGGGGTGGGTATGTGTCAGGGAGCTGGAGGGTAGGACAGCTCCTGGGTTTGCCTGGAGCTCCCCACTGCCCGCAGGGACCAGGGAGCTCTGGGGCAGATGGAAGGAACAGCTGTGTCTGCAACCAGCTGGGCTGGGCCCCTACAACTCTCTCGAGCTCTCACCCCGGAGGCAGGTGGATCCTGGCCTCTGAGCCAGGGCAGGAGCCTGGGCTGGGTTCAGGCAGCTCTTGGCAGCAAGAGGATTTTCAGGTTGTGGCAGCTGGTGCTGGGTGGGGACAGGTCCGCTGCTGAGGCATGCTCCCCCTCTGTGACTTGGAAAAGAGCTGTGACTGAGGCCTTGGGAGTAGTTGGGGTTTTTTGTTTGTTTTTTGGTGATACTGTGGTTTGAACTCAGGGCCTCACATTTGCTAGGCAGACCCTCTCCCACTTGAGCCACTCCATCAGCTCTGTTTTGTGTTGGCTATTTTCTAAATAGGGTTTCTTGAACTATTTGCCCTGCTTGCTTTGAACCTCAATACTCCTGATCTCTACCTCTGGAGTAGCTATGATTATAGACCTGGTTCCCTCAGGAGTAGTTCTTTAGAGATGGTGAGCTGATGAATTTCTTCAGAGTCTGGGGATGGGGGTGGGAGTAGGTTAGGGCAACTTCCTCAGGAATATGGATTACCTTTTTTTCCAGGTTCTGAAGAACAGAGAATGCCTTTCTTTTCTTGTGGGAAGTGAGATTTCCCTGGATGGGAACAGAGCAAGGCAGAGTTGTTCCTCCTGGCAGTTGGCTAGAGGAATGGGTCTGCCTCTGGAGCCTTCTAGGATGGAGGCCAGGATCTTGGGCCTCTTTTCATCCTTTCCTCCTCTTCGCAGAAGGAGCAGAAGAAGAAACAGCAGTTGTCCATTTGCAACAAACTTTGCTATGCAGTTGGGGGGGCCCCCTACCAGGTGACAGGCTGTGCCCTGGGGTTCTTCCTGCAGATCTACCTGTTGGACGTGGCTCAGGTGAGTGGCCTAAACCCTCCAGGGCTCCTCTAGCATTCCGGGGTGGGAAGGCTAGGCAACCATAGGTAGGTTCACTCAGTTTTTCCCATCCGTGAAACAGTCCCAGAAATCTTTCTGACTCCCAGAGACAAAGTGGATGAGGAGTAAGACTTTACAAAGTATCCAGGAGGGGAGTCTATGTGTCCCAGGACTCTTAGCTGGCAACTCCTCCTTGCTTGGCAAGAGCAGTGGAGCCTGGAAGGGTAGACGGTGGTGTAAAAGAGAATGGGACCCGCTGGTGACGATGTTCTCAGAAGATACTGGCACACCATGTTCCTGGCTGGAAGACAGTTGGCTTGGCATCGAGGTTAGTGGATGTTGCCAAGCTTATGCAGGAGATATGTCCCACCTTCACCTGTGGCTAGTCAGTGGGCAGAGGGTCCTCAAGTGCTCAGCTAAGTTAGAGTGCCCCAGAACACAGGATATATGACTGGGAGGGGTACTTAAGGTGAAGCCAGGGTACTCTGTGCTTCAAGAAGCCTTGGCCAGCAGCCTGGCATCCTGAGAATTCACCCTGTCTGCAGAGGAGAGTGGGAAACTGAATAGCCTTAGTTACCAGGGCTCCCACTGGCTGTCTTTTCTGGGTAGCATCTGACTTGGCAGGCAGGGCATCTTAGTTGCATCCATTTACCAGTGGGGAACACTGAGCCCCACAAAGGACAAATGACCTCATTCAGCAGCCAGTTTTCAAGCAATTCCCAGGGGCCAGTTGAAGTATAAATCTGTTGCATGAGTGTTAGGGCTGCGGCAGGGATTATACTGAGGAGACTGTTGTGTAGAAGAGGCTGCAAGCCCTGCAAGCAGGGCTTTGATGGATGAGGAGGAGTCCAGAGAATGTCTAGTTAGAGGGTAGAGTGTTTGGGAGAGAGGGATAGCTTGAGGAAGTAGTGAAGACCTGCTTTACTTATTTATTTATTTTTTTGATGGTGGTGGTGGTAGTGGTACTATGGTTTGAGCTCAGGGCTTCCAACTTGCTAGGCAGGTGCTCTACCACTTGAGCCATGCCTCCAGCCACAATGGGTTACTTTTTAAACAGCTTCATCTGTAGACTCCTCCTTCCATAGCCAAGACAGAGCTTGACCTTCTAAAGGGTAATAAAGATCATAACTCCCATTACACAGATGGGGAAACTGAGGCCCACTGTGGTTAATGCTGTGTGAATGCTAGTTCCCACATCAGGTGATCAGGAGCTATGAGAGGGAGAGAAGGAAATGATTCTGAATTCAGTCTATTTGATGAAACATTTTCAAAGGCAGCAGAGGGTTGGAAATGATCCTGGAAAGCTAACACAGATCTACCATCATCAGAGAAGTGCTACTGTCATTATTATCTTCTCTCCCCCCAGCCCCCATGGTGCTGGGGATCAAACCCAGGACCTCACATGTGCTAGGCAAGTGCTCCAGTGCTGGGCTACACCCCCAGCCTTGCTACTGTCTTCATTAACAAGGCAAGTGATGATGATTAAGCCCCAGGTAGGAGCAGCAGAGGGGCTCAAGGACCTGGCTGCCTTTGTCTACTAGTGGGGACTGAGGTGAGTGGAAGGATCCAGAAGCTGAATTTTGCCTCTTCCTCATTACAGGTGAACCCTTTCTCTGCTTCCATCATCCTGTTTGTGGGCCGAGCCTGGGATGCCTTCACTGATCCTCTGGTGGGCTTCTGCATTAGCAAATCCCCCTGGACCCGTCTGGGCCGCCTCATGCCCTGGTGAGTGGAAGAGGCTCCTTCAAGGTGCAGAAAGCAAGGCTTCCGGCATATCCTTCCATCTCTTGTCGTAGGCTGGAGGGAGTGAGAGAAATGATGTAAAGCCCAAGGGTGTTGAAACCCCAGCTGTGGCCTCAGCTGCCCCAGGTACAGGCATAGGACACCTAGCCAGTTCATTCTCAGGCTGCTCAAAGTGCTAGACTGACTGGCTTTCCTCATTGTAGGCCTTATGGCTCCCCAAGGTCCACTCATTCCCCTTGGTGAAGCTGGAATTCCAACTTCTCCCACTCATCACTTCCATAGTGGCAGAGGTAGGTCTTCAGGCAGCTGAGAGATTGAACTCTGCAGCCAGCCTACCTGGGTTTGAATCCCAGCTTCACTACTTAAAGCTGTGCAACCTTGAGCAAGTCACTTAACATCTCTGAGCCTCAAGTTTCTTCATTTGTAAGATGGAGATAAGGAACTTCTCACAGGGTTGTGGTGAGGACTCTTTTTTTTTTTTTTTTTTTTTTGCTATGTAAAGGCACATGTTAAATGATAGGTGATATAGACTTGGCCCTCCTGCAGGGTGGCTCCTGCTGGGTAGGAATTGGGGACAATACTGGAAATGAGGCTGTAGACCCATAATCTTTGGTGCCTTGGAAGGTGTGAACTACATTTTCTCTTGGTGCAAAGCCTGTATTACTGAGCCTCAGGCTGTGAGGCAAGGTGGTGGGGGAGGCTGTTCTACAGATCAGACAGCAGGAGAGACACATAAGACAGGCAGGCCGGGACTCTGGTTCCCCCCAGGACATCCTGCTTCGGGGGGTGGGGGGGCATACCCCTTTCATCTCCATCCCATCCAAGCGCAAGTGGGCGCCTTCCTGCCCCAGGGGCGCCCATACCTGGCCTCCGGCCTTCAAAGCTCTTCCCACAGCCCCCGCACCCCCACAGCTTCCTTTCCCACGAGGCCCCCCACCCACCCCAATCCTGCCAGTCCCTGGCAAAGACCCAGGTTGGAGCCTTTGATCCAGGCTTCAGGGCCGGGGGGCAGGATAGCCTGACTTACCTGGGCAGGCTGCTCAGGGCTCCTTGAGCACCAGCCCGTGAGACTTGGCCCTGTGCCCTCTCCTGGCAGCTGGTGGAAGGCGGGGCCCTGCTGCTACATCTCCTCATGAGCCCCGGCCAATGGGAGGCGGCTGCACCAGAGCAGCAGCGCAGGGTCACTCCCAGTCACGCTGGGCTCCTCCGCGTGTCTCAGCTGCCTCCAGCGGAGGATGGAGTGTTTGAGGAAGGCTGAGGAGGAGCCCCGTGGTGGAGGAGGTGGGCCCAGCAGGCCCGCACCGCTGGAGGGAGGATCTGAGCACTCTTGATGGGCAGGTGTGGCAGCCAGTTTGGGGAAGTTGCTGGGACTCCCTAGACTACTTTCCCTAGCAGGTGCACGTGTGTACATGTCAGAGCGAATACTACATAGCCCGTGGGCTGCAGGGCCGCAGTGTATGTGACATCCCCGTCTGCACTACCTGGGCCCCTCCTCAGGCCTGGGGACCCGGCACCCCGTTTCCTTTCAGTGTAGGAGAAGGTTGGGCCCATCAGGGTTTGTGAGGCCTGTAGTTCCCTTACCTTGCAGGCCTCAGGACAGCTCTTCTAAGCCCGCATTTAAATCTCCTTCAAACCAGAAAGAATTTGACTGTCACTTTCCCTGGAGTTCCCAGGGCCACCTGTGGGAGGCAGAGATAAAGCAGGCTGGACCTGAGGTTGATTCCAGCGCAGTGCACTCCGCAGCCTTTCTGGCACTGGCCTGTACTGGTTCCCACAGGCCAGCTCTCCTGGCCCTTCTTAAGGCGATCAAACACTTTTGTCCCAAGTACTGTTCTACATTTTCATATCAACTTCTTTAAGTCTCAAGACTACTTCAAGTCTGTGAAGTAGAACTGAAGTCCTTACAGTGGCCTGTGAGGTGGCCCAGTTCCTCTGCCAACTTAGCTCCTGATTCCATCTCCCCTGCTCACTGCACTCCAGCCCCTCTACCTTGATCTTCCTCAGCCCTACCAGGCACCAGGCACAGGCCTGCCTGAGGACCTTTGCACTTACTGCTCTTGCCTCAGACGTCTGCAAGGCTGACTCCCTGATTTCACCCAAGTCTTCACAGTTCTCGCCCTCTCTCGTGGAGGCATGTGCTGTTTGCTCGGTTGTGGAATGCACTATCATTCACTCTTCTAATTCCCTGTAGCCTGCTGTAGCTCTGTCACCTTCTAACATGTTCTATAATCTTTCCAAAACTGCCAAAGCATGACATTTACCTTTATAACCATTTTTAAGTGTTCCCACAAAGTGACATAAATATATTCACATCTTTGTGTGACCACCACCTGCTTTTTCTTTTTTTTTTTTTCCCCCCGCAATCCTGGGGTTTGAACTCAGGGCCTTATGCTTGCTAGGCAAGTGCTCTACCACTTAAACCACACTTCCAGCCATGTGTGGTGGGTTTTTTTGTTCATTTTCATTTTTTTGAGTCAGGGGCTTATGTATCTCAGGCTGGCCTAAAGCTTGCCACCCTCCTGCCTTCTGAGCATTGGGACTGTGGCATGTGCCACCACACCCAGCTCTCCAGTACTTTTTATCTTCGCAAACTGAAACTCTGTACCCATTAAACAATAATCTACACTTCCCCCTCCTCTCACCCTTTGCTCACCACCTCTACTTTCTCCCTCTATAAAGTTGGCTACTCAGATTTGGTCACCTCATATAAGTTAAATCGTACAGTTGGCCTTTTGCTTATTTCACTTCACCTAATGTTCTCAGGTTCATCCATATTGTAGTATGTGTCAAAATTTCATTTTTTTGGAAGTTTTAACCAAGATTTATTTTAGTGTAATAGGATAAAGTATAGGTACTTTCTCCCCTACAGGAGGGGGAGAAAGAGAAACATTTCCTCCAGGACATGGGAACAAAAAACTCCCAGCATTTCATTTTTAAGGCTGAGTAGTATATATAATTTAATAATGCTTATTTTTTTCTGTTTGCCAACTAGAATGCAAGTTCCACAAGGGCAATGATATTTTTGGTCTTTGTTCACTGATCTATCCCCAAGCAATTAGACTAGTGTACAGCACATAACTGCACTAAATAAATAAAAAATGTACCTTTTTTTTATTATTTTACGCATGAGGAAATGAGCTTCAGAGATATTAAATACCTTGCCTAAGTCAGTTCAGGGAGCCAGAATTAGATCTCTGAAGTGTGACTCATAAGGCCTTCCTCTTAACCTTTGTACTCTGCTGCCTTTCTGTGCTGGGAAGTCGGTCCATCTGGAAGTCTAACCACTTGATAGAGGTGGGACTCAGATGTGAGCAACAGACACTTGCCTCTCTTGATAGTTTCCACATGGCTCTTCCATCGTCCTTCACCTGGAGCCCCTCCCCCACACTACTACAGCTTCTCTGTGTGTGCGCACGAGAAAACACACAGGTGCTGTGATTATTTCCTCTCCCTGCCTCCCTGCTCTACCAAGATTTTGGCCTTCATTCCCAGCATCCCCAGCCCAGAAGTCCCTGTCCCAGAAGTGGGTGAGACTGGGTCTGACCTCACATCCCATGCTCAGGCCAGTTGCCCTTTCAGGCTTGGCCATCAGCCTCTTTCCAGAGGCCCTGGGATGGATGAATTCAGGGAAGGGACTTCCTTCCTGGAGGACACCCTGTGGCCCAGAGTTGGGCCTTTGGCCTCCAACCTCTAATTAGACTTTCTCCTTCCTCAGGATCATCTTCTCCACACCTTTGGCTATCATCGCGTATTTCCTCATCTGGTTTGTGCCTGACTTCCCACAGGGTCAGACCCTTTGGTACCTGCTTTTCTATTGCCTCTTTGAGACACTGGTCACGGTGAGTGTGCTGTCCTCACCCCAGTGCTGGGCATCTCTGGGGGCAGGGGCAAGGGGAGTCCCTGCGACCTCCACATCTGTGTGTCCTCCATCTAACTGGCCAACGGCCTGTCCTCTGTGCCAGTGTTTCCATGTTCCCTACTCCGCCCTCACCATGTTCATCAGCGCCGAGCAGAGTGAGCGGGACTCCGCCACCGCCTATCGTAAGTCTCTCCCCAGCTGGCCCAACCTTGCCCGTGGGGGGTCCTGAGCCCCTCAGCTCCCAGACCCTATTGCCACACTTCTTCCCTTATGGGCCCAGCTCTTCACTCTGCACTTGGGTGTGAGTGTGAAGCCATCTTTTTTTTTTTGGTGGTGGTGGTGCTAGGGATGGGACCCAGGGCCTTGTGTATGCTAAGTAGGCACTCACCATTGAGCTAAGTCCTCAGCCCATGAAACCGTCTTAAAAACAATTCACAATCCCCTTATTGCTCAGATAGATGTAGGGACTAACCTGAGATTACCCAGAGCAAAGCCATGAGTGTAGGCCAAGGTCATCCATCCTACTTCCTGGATGCCTGGAGCTAGAACTGGGCCCCCATCCCTCTGGCCTCTCTCCCTGGGCCCACAAGTCAGGCCCCTTTGTGGAGGCCCCTCTAAAAAGACCGTCTTTTCACTATCCAGGGATGACCGTGGAGGTGCTGGGCACAGTGCTAGGCACAGCGATCCAGGGGCAAATCGTGGGTCAAGCAAATGCGCCTTGTCTCCAGGACCCCAATGGCTCTGCAGAGGCCTCGGAAAGTGCCAATCGCACACATAGCAATGCTTCACTCAAAGAAACGGTGAGGCCTCTGGCAGGGCAGGGAATTGTGGGGATGGAGAGCAATAAAGTGCTTTGCTGTCATCTTAAAAGTAGTCATAATAGCTAGCATGTAATAACTGTTGGTCATTTGATATTCATAATAACATGGGCAGTGTACCCATTTTACAGATAAGAAAACTGAAGTCTACAGAGGCCAAGCCATTTGCCCAGGGTTCTAGAGCTAGTGATACAGACATTTGGGAAGATTTGAACTGTGGGCACACAGACTTCCCAGCCTGGCTTTGTAACATTTTGTACACCTGAACTTTATATAGACTTGGGAAGCATCAGCAGGCCTAAGATGATCCTCCTGGTTCACAGTTGGAGACAGTGAGGCCCCCAGAGGAGAAGGGACTGGCCTGAGATCATGGAGTGGGGCTGCTGGGATGAGATCAGACTGACTGTGTCTCTGTATGTCACCTTCACCTCTATAGCAAAATGCATACCTGCTGGCAGCAGGGGTCATTGCCTCAATCTATGTCATCTGTGCTCTCATCTTGACCCTGGGCGTGCGGGAACAGAGAGGTGAGAAGGGCCCTGTGAAGGGTGAAGACCCCAGCACAGGAGGGCTGAGCCTTGGCCCTCAGGCTTTGGGAGGGGCCTCTGCCCCTTCCTTACCTTCTTCTCCGGTCCCCAGAACCCTATGAGACCCAGAAGGCTGAGCCAATGCCCTTCTTCCAGGGCCTCCGGCTGGTCATGAGTCATGGCCCGTATGTCAAACTCATTGCTGGCTTCCTCTTCACCTCCCTGGCTTTCATGGTGAGTGGGGTCCCTGAGGCGCTCAGCCTGGGAGTTGTAATGGGAGTGGGGTTGGAGAGGACTCAGGGTGTGATGAAGCTGAGGGACAGGACAGGCGGAGTGGGGGAGGAGTGAGCAGAGATCTTGGGAGCATGGGGGGGAGTGTCTTAGGGAGGCCCATCCCCAACACCACCTCTTTCCCCAGCTGGTGGAGGGGAACTTCGCCTTGTTTTGCACTTACACCTTGGGCTTCCGCAATGAGTTCCAGAATCTACTCCTGGCCATCATGGTGCGTGCAGGGCCTGAGGGTGGGTGGTGTCCTGGGTTGATATGGCATAGGTTATAGGGTAGTTCTTTGGGCAGTCGGAGGATGTTCCTAGATTGGCCCACAGGCATGACGGATGAGGGAGGCGTCCTATAATAATCATTTGGATCTGACCTACAATTGCCTAGGGAGGATTGGAAAGGGATTGGATGTTTAGCAAGCATTCTAAAAGCAAAGGTGTGGGCACTGAGAACTTTCTGGATCTCTGAGCCGAGGTGTGAAAAGGCAGGACCTCCTCTCAGCTCCCTGGTGAGCCATCAGACATACCTTCCTCACTGTTGGGATGATGCCACCTTGCTGCTCTTGGCAGAGCTGGAGATGCTTTGGGGTCCTGGGAAGGTCAGAAGAGGTTCTGTGGCTCTAACCCAGCTCCCTCCCTCCCTTTATCCATCTGCAGCTCTCAGCCACATTCACCATTCCCATCTGGCAATGGTTCCTAACTCGGTTCGGCAAGAAGACAGCTGTATACATTGGAATCTCAGTGAGTAGGACGTTAGAGGCAGGACCCGGGTTGAGTTAAGGGGTTACTGGTGGGAGGCTCCCAGCTCACCCATCTTCCCGTGCCCCCTTCCCTAGTCAGCAGTGCCATTTCTCATCTTGGTGGCCCTCATGAAGAGTAACCTAATCGTCACGTATGTGGTGGCCATAGCAGCCGGAGTCAGTGTAGCAGCTGCCTTCTTATTACCCTGGTAGGTATCTGCAGGCTTGCTGTTATCTTCCCTGGCCTCCCACCCTCCAACTCTGAAGCTCCTTGGGGCGAGTTCTTTAAGGGTTTCTCGTCCTGCAGGCGGTTCTGTAAGTGCAGGTTAGAAACCTATTTAACTGCTCTAATCAGTTATATAGGTGGTGAACTGTGTGAGAACACCTAGTCACGGTGAGAAACGGGGGCCTAAAATCTGACCACCGCTTCACTTACCAAGCTGAGCACCCAGAGTGGGACTCCATCTTGGAGGAAGGGGCCTGTTCTCAGTCACACAAAGGTGCTGTCCCCTCACTGTGCTGTGTGCTGTAAGCTGCTAGTGGGCTGCCTCTCCTCGCTGACACAGGCACCATACAGGCTGGGGGGAGGAGAGGGCTGATGGCTTGGTGGGGGTACTCATGGCTGCCATCACCCGCTCTGCACAGGTCCATGCTGCCTGACGTCATCGACGACTTCCACCTGAAGCATCCCACCTCCCACGGCACTGAGCCCATCTTCTTTTCCTTCTATGTCTTCTTCACCAAGTTTGCCTCTGGAGTCTCACTAGGAATCTCCACCCTCAGTCTTGAGTGAGTGGGGTGGGCGTCTGGCACAGGGCTAGGCAGGACCAGGCCCTAAGTGCCACATCCTCACCCACCTCTGCCTGCTGTCTCCCACAGCTTTGCTGGGTACCAGACGCGGGGTTGCTCTCAGCCATCACGTGTCAAGTTTACGCTGAAGATGCTAGTGACCATGGCTCCCATAGTCCTCATCTTGCTGGGCCTCCTGCTCTTTGAGCTGTACCCCATCGATGAGGAGAAGCGGCGGCAGAATAAGAAGGCCCTGCAGGCTCTGCGGTAGGAGCGGAAGGGGTGGTATCTAGTCTAAGCACCCCACTTGGCCTCTGATGGTCAAGTCCTGGTTTACCTCTAGCACATTTTCTCTTGACAGCCCCAACACTAGCTACGTGCCAGGTGCTACACTGAGTAGCTTTACTATTCAGTCAACAAACACTTAACTAGATGCCTTATCATGGGCCAGCGTAGCTCTCATGAACAATGCACACAAAACTCCCTGCCCTTGAGGAACTCACATAACCCTGTGTGTCTGAAATTCTTAGGATTCCCATTCTGCAGCTGAAGAAACCAGGGTTTCACCAGGAAGAGTGGATCCACCCAGTGCATAAGGGATGGAGCTGGGCATTAAGTCCCGCCCCATATTCTGGCTGCAGCTTGAATTCTTTGCTGCCTTCCTGGCATGCAGGAGCTCGGGTGTGGCCTGAGACTAGAGGGTAGGGTGGAATGAGTCATGCCAACCTATCAGCCAGCCCCAACCAGAGGATAGCCCTGGAGTTTGTGGGACACTCAGTGCAACCAGAACAGCAAACACAGTAACCAACAGTTTCTGGGCTGAAAGTGGGAGTGAGCAAACTGTTTAGAGGAGCCCATCAGCCAGCTGGGATGGCCTGGCCAAGATCCCTGAGGAAGGAGCCAGGTGGCAGAGGGGAGGGTTGAACGCTTTCTCCAACTGGTCTCCTCTGACTTGGGCAGGGACGAAGCCAGCAGCTCGGGCTGCTCCGACACAGACTCCACAGAGCTGGCCAGCATCCTCTAGGGCCGGCTGTATCACCTGATGCCACCACACAGAAGGCCTGGGTCATCAGGCCACACGAGGACCAGAACCTGTTTGCCCACTCGCTGAACAGCTGTTCTCCAGGTGCCAGGACAGGGACCAAGGACTGGAGGGTGAGCGGGCCCAGCACATCTGTGCTCACCGTGGGGCTGGCCGCTCTATAGCCTCCGCCTCCCCTCTGCCTGCCCCCAGGACGAAGCCCTGGGGCTGCTACTGTGAATATGCCAAGGACTGATCGGGCCTAGCCTGAAGCACTAATGTAGAAACATTTTATACAGAGACTAATGAATAACTTAATGACATGTACATAGTGCCATGTGTGTATGTAAATGTCTGTGAGCTATTAATGTTATTAATTTTCATAAAAGCTGGAAAACGGAGCTGCCTGTTTCTGCGTGTGTCCCCAGCTACTCCCTGAGCTCTTCTGTGCCCAGGCACAGTAGTGAGCACACCAAGTCACAGGTGCCACTGGATGGGGCTAATGTGTCTGGGGTGTGATAACAACCTCAGCTAACATTTACTGAACACCTACTCTGTGCCAGCACTGTGTGGTGGCTTTGCATGTCCTTTGTGGTGTTCTTACCTAACCCATGAAAGCATGGTGCCAAGGCAAGACTACCCATTTTAAAAATAAGAACCAAGGTCTAGGGCTGGACGTAGTAGCTTATGCCTACAATCTCACCTACTTAGGAGACGAAGTTTGGAAGGAGGATTGCAGGTTTGAGTCCAGACCAGGCAAAAAGTTAGCAAGACCCTATCTCAATAAGCAGGGCATTGTGGTTGCACCCCTTTGGTTCCAGGTTTGTAGAGGTGGCAGTAGGTAGGAGGATCACCATCTGAGCCCAGCCCTGAAAAATAATGCATAAAGGGCCAGAGGTATGCCTCAAGTGATAGCACTCCTACCTAGCAAGCTTGAGGCCTTGAGTTTAGCCCCCAACACTGCCAAAGAAAAAACTGAGCTCTAGTGTAGAAAGGGACATAGTAAAGTCACAGCACCAAGAGTGACCTAACTGGGACTCTTTCTCTACTCTGAGAATCCACTACCTTCCCCACCACTCTCCACTCCCCTATGTCTGAGAAGGACCAAGGAATTGGAAGACAGACAGTGTTTTTATCTACCCTGAGCATGCCTGAGCTTGTGATGCTGGCTGCTGGGAGGGGCTGTGTGATGGGGCCTTGTCACATCTCTGGAGACTATTCTTTCTCTACCACTGTTATTGCCAGGGTTGAAGGAGAAGGTACTTGGCTAGGTGTGTTGGATAATGGAGGATCTTGACTCTGGTGGGAGAGAGGGAGGTGAGGAATGCCTAATTGTAGTGTTTGTCCTATTACTGTGGTATAAATACTCCCACCACATCCAATTCAAGTTAGCCTTGATTGTATTATCTTCCCAAATACTTGAAAATTTAATAGTTGACTCTCACAAACTGGTAGGGGTGTCCTATGCACCATCGGGTTTCCAACACCTAGGCCAGGCTCCAAAAGTTACAGAGAAGCAAAGTTGGCAAGCAGGTTGAGTCACTAGTCCAACCTTGTTATTTTACTGTTACTTTTTGACTTTCACTGGTACTGGGGTTTGAACTCTGAGCTTCACAATTGCTAGGTAGGCACTCTATCGTTTGAGCCACTCCCCCATTCCCTAAACATCGTGACTTTATAGATGGATAAATGAGGCCTAAAGAGAAGTGCTGCAACCATTTGAGCCTGGTTTTTACCTTGGATGTGGAGCTCCATGTAACGGATAAACTTCTGCCAAGTCACTTTTGTAAGTTCTGTAAAGTTACCAACAGGCACTGTTGTACATGTTCAGAAATACTAATCCAATTAGCATTCTATTAGAAAGGTACTATTATCCTCATTTTACAGATAAGGAAACCAAGACACAGGAAGTTAAGTAATTTGCCCAAGGTCACTATCCAGTGAGGAAGTGGACAAGTTGATAGTAAATCCAGGCTGACTAGAGGGCCTGTACCCTTCACCACTACTTTAGGCTATCACCTGCACCCATAGTATGGTCCCACCAAGCCAGTCCTACTGCCTCTGCAAGTGCCATCTCTGGTCAGAGGCTGCCTGTGTAAGGCAGGAGCCCCGGGCTGGTCTGGCCTCTGCAAATGTGTACAGAGGCCCGCTCCCACCTCCTCACTGCACTAGTCAATAGCTGCTAAGTCCTATCTTAAAAAAAATTATTTTAGGGCCAGGAGTGTAGCTAGGTGGTGGAGTGCTTGGCTACCACGGACAAGATCCTGGGTTTCATCCCCAACACTACAAAATGAAAATCAAATTTTGGAAATTTGTGCAAGCTTCCTCTTTCCTCTCCCTAGTTTCCTCCTTAGGTCTTATCTTCTCTCACTTTATCATCTCTCACCTGGATGATTGCACCAGCATTCTGACTGGTGTTTTTGTCTTAGATTGGATCTCCTCCATTCCTTAGCAAACTTCCAAGATAACCCAGTAGTTCTCCTGTTCAGAAACACTCTTCATGTCTCCATTACTTTCAGGAATGAGTGTGAGGCCCTGCGAACCTCTCCAGTCCAGATCTAGATGTACTCCTTCTCGCAGGCCGCCTTCTGGAATATACTTCTGCTTCAGCTGCACCTGCAGGCACTTGTCCTATATGTGGCTCCAGCAAGCCTTTCTGAGTGGATCCTGACCCCTTTTCCTCTTAGGCCAGCTCTGAGAATCCATGCTCCATCGTGCACGCCTGGCCCACACAGCCCAGGGCCAGGCGTGGCTGGCTGGGGAAGGTACCTGGAGTTGGATGCATGCTGACTCTGATGGGAAAGGCCTTTGGTCGGGAGCCAAACACAGTTCTTACCCACTAGCATGTTCCTGGGTCTCAGTTTCCTCCAAATGTTTCATGGGGATTTAGATTGAAAACACTGGCCTCCCTCCAGTCCCATGCTCACAGTAAAGTGCTCTCCTCATTGGACACCCTTGGCTCATGGGAGGCAGAGATCAGGAGGATTGAGGTTTGAGGCCAGCCTGTGCAAACAGTTTGTGAGATCTTATCTCAAAAATATCTAATACAAAAATAGGGCTAGAAGAGTGGCTCGAGTAGTAGAATACCTGCCTAGTAAATGTGAGGCCCTCACTTCAAACCCCAGCACTGTCAAAAAAACCCAAAAACCAAAACTCCCCTCTTCAAAGGCCACTTGTGGAGTTTTTGGGGGATAGGACAGTGGGGAAAGAGAAAGCAATCCCTGATTCCAGAAATCCCTTAAGTCATTGGCTGCTCCAAGCCCCTTCTGGACAGCTCATACCTACTTATCCTTTAGGAGAAGTGTCCTCTTTACTTCCTCTGTACTTGGATCCAGCATTACCACAGCAAACCTCTCCTCTCCTCTCTTCTCCCTTCCCCTCTCTTCCCCTCCCCTCTCTCCCACACCCCAACTGCCCCAAAGGAGGTCTTGGCCTTCTGCTCTGCCAACCACATCCCACACCTTATGCTGAGAACCAGGTGTGGTGTTGGCGCCACCTGCTGTAAGAAAGAAGCAAGACCTCAACATTGCAAAAAAATTGCAGATCAGTCATTGAGTTGCGATATTATTCCATGGATCTGAACAGATATTTATGATTTCAACTACATATCCTGCACTTGCTAGGTTCTGAGGACATTGTTGAACAATACAGAGCTTGCATTCATGGTGGAGACCAATGACAAATAAAAAAACAGATAAATAAGAATTTCAGATTCTAATAAGCACTGTGAAATAAACTAGTAAGGTGAGTGATAGAGGGAGCTAGTAGGAAACTACTCTTAGCCAGTTGTTCAGGAAATAAAGTTCTGAAAATGTTACATTTGCCTTCACTCATGAAGGAGGAGGTTATCCAGATGTTCAGAGAGTTTGGAAGGAATCTGCAGAGAGAGGAGACAGCTACTGCAGCCCCCATGCTGTAGAAGAGCTTGGTGTGTTGGAGGAAAGAAGACCAGTGTGGCCAGAGTGCAGGGTATAAAGGAGTGGATGGCCCCATCTGGGACTGGGAAGGTGCATAGGAACCAGACTTTCCAGAACCTTGTATCCCAGAAGAATTTAAATTTTATTTTGGGAGCATCCAAAAGGTCATTGAAGATATTTAAGAAAAGTGATTTACATTAAAAAATATTTTCCTGCCTGCTATGATCAGAGAGCTGTAAATGTTGACTGGAGCAGAACACTAGGAGGCTCTTAGAATAGTCACTGTGAGAGTGTTGGTGGCTCAGCATGGAGTGGCACACATACCATCTCACCATCAGTGTTTCCCATCTACAAAGTGTGGCCCACCAATCCTTTTACAGATCAGATGAGGCATGTGCTGAAGCTGTCTATGCACTAGGACTCCAGGGAAGACATATTTATTCAACAAAATATTCAGTGAGTCCCTCCTGTCTGCCAGGATAGTTAAGTGTGAGGGATACAGCAGAAGCTTAACCTTTATGAACTTTTTCCCTGTCTGGAAAAACTGTTATTAACTGAGTGAACATATGTGTCAGGAATGTTACAAGGAAGAAGAAGGAGCTATGGAAGTGAGTAACAGAATCAGATTACACTGAAAGCTCTTGGCCTGAGGCCCAAAAGAAAGAGCAGGAGTCAGCCAGGCAAAGAGAAGAGGGGAGAACGAAAATGAACAGCATGTGCTAACACTCAGAGGCCAGGGACGGGATGATGGCGTCAAGGATTGGAAAGAAGGCTGTGGTGGAAGCAGAAAGGTCAAGGGAAAAGAAGCAAGATGACACAGGATGAAGGTAGAGGAGGATGGTGCACACAGGGCTTATTCTAAGAGCAGTGGGAAGTCATTAATAATTTTAAGTATGGGAGCCACATGGCAGATTAAGGGCTTAGAAAGACCCTATCAGCTGCTCTGTGGAAAAAGGATTGAAAGGATTGTTTTTTGGGTGGTTCTGGGGTTTGAATTCAGGGCCTCTTGCTTGCGAGGCAGGCGCCCTACCACTTGAGCCATGGCCACGCCCCAACCCCATTACATGAGGCTGCTCCTGTAATGTTCCAGGAATGAATGGTCATGAAAATACTGCCTGGTTAGTGATAGCCAAGATGGAAAGAGTAGACTGACTTGGCAGCTGCTTGGCTGATATAATTGAGAGAGAAGAAAGGAGGGGGAGGAAGATGGTGCCTAGATTTCTCACTTGGGAAACTAGTAACACAGGAAGCACTGGGGAGAAGTAGGTATGGAAGGCAAGTTCATTTGCCACTTCTTCGCATCATTTTCATATAACTACAGGGAAGATGACACTTAGGAATTCCACAATCAATGTCTAGTGTGCACAATGCCCTGAGTTTTAGTCCCAGCACTGTTAAAAAAAAAAAAAAAAAGCCAGGTGCAGGTGGTTCACGCCTGTAATCCTAGCTACTCAGGAGGCAGAGATCAGGAGGATCTCA